ACACACCCACACCTGTAATGGTCGATCTTTCATGGTAGCTGGCATCTTTTGGGAAGAAGTAGTAGATATGGTATAATTCCATTCATTTGTGGAGTTTCGCTCAAGGGTGACTTATCTGATCTTTTTTTTTCTGTCAGATGATAATATCAGAAATTTAACATGGAAGTGCTTTACGCAGGATTAGAATGGCGATTCAGTTCTGTATGCGCTCATGTAGTTCTCATGTGGATGTACTGCAGAATTAAGAGGGTTAAATATGATTTTTGTTTGTCATTTAAATGTGGTTGCTTAGGGTCCCCATTTCTAAATTATCAGTCTCCAATCTGATGTTTTTGACTTTTCGATTTTCTGATTGGTCGTTCGTTCCACCAATAGATTTTTTTCTCTCGTCGTGGTAGCTTCACATCGATACGCACACCCACACCCACACCCTTAATAATATGAGTCAAACAATGATCAATATACAAAATACACTAAATATCTCATTGGAAAGAATTTCATGATACAAATAACTTTATTTCAGGTTTTATGTAGAGATTTTGCAGTTTTGATTGATACTTTGTTTTTACTATAAAACTAAAAATATCCATTATCACATTCTTCTCTGCGATAGATACATCACGCCACCTTTCGTTACAATAAGCTTACTGACTGATATAGATAGTCGAATAAGATTTTATCTATACCATATCTGGATTTGAAGAAAATTCAAAGCATTTGTAACAGAGTGGTATAAAAATAATATGTGGTATCTAAAACATGTACTAGTCAATATATATTTTTGTGAATTTTATTTGTTTGTTTTTCTTCATATGAAGAAATGGTTTTTTCCAACATAATATTTATTGTAATATATGACTCATAACGCAGGAAAAAATGTTTTGCGTACTATCACCAGTGATATATGAAAACTCTTATTTGCATTTGTTTAGTGTACAACGAACGTTTTAAACAATGGCTACTAATGTACTATCGATCGATCAATCCCGTGTGGTCTACATTGAAATCGGTGAGACTAAAATAGGTCGTATATCATTACCATATTCAACTACTGTTGCTGAACTTCGCATACAACTTTCTGAACGTTACAGCATATCGTCTAGTACGCATTTTGTTGATTCTAAAGGCTATCCTGTGTCTACTATGGATGAACAGACAATCGATATCAGTCACTTGCTGTGTGAAAATGATGTGATTAAATTGAAAACTGATGCAAATATTTCAATTCCAGAAAAAAAGAAATCAGAAGTAGCATCAGGACGATTTGAACTAAATGTTGCATCGTCAAATATCAAAGAAATTTCAGCACCTTCAAAAGGACCAACTATACCGGGTTCGATGCCGGCTCATTCGACGAACACAATCGTTATGGCTACTCAACTTGATGACAAAATGTGGAAAGACGTGTTTGATACCTGTAGTCTACTTTGCGCCATTCGAATAGATGGAAAGGAACCTATTCGTGCTATGCATCCCGTATTAGAGTTCAAAGAATCTGATAAATACACACCAGTATTTCAAGTCCGTGATAATTCTTATATTCGTGCACACATGAGAAATAGAAGAATGGAAAGTTGTTTTGTTTCAAATGATTACTTCGATGGTGGTATTGACCTTTCTTGTCCTTGCATAGGAATTGGAATAGATTCGACATATAAACAGTTCATATCTAAGACAAACGAAAAAAGAACAATGTACTCGACGTGTGTTTTTAATCATTCACGTGCGATTGTAGAATTAAATTTGTCATATCTTGAACCAACACAAGAGTTCATCGATGCCATCGATAATGTTCTACAACAAACACCGACAAAGGATGATTTAAAAAATGTTTTTTTATCTTACGGTCATGTATATCCTCAACGTATCACTCTTGGTGGTCATTTGTTTTATACCGAAGAACATTGTGTCAAGGGAAATGTTGACGAAGAAGAGATCCGAATAGCTGCCGAGGATCGTTTTAAGACTGCTTACCTCACACAAACCGAACTTCGTCTTGGTTCTAGTTTTGGGAATAAATCAAAAAAAGAATCATCTAAACAAGACTCTTCTATTAAGTTTGAAGCAGTCGGCGGCAACACATTACTCGCTCGTAATCCGACAGCATGGGAAGAGACACTAAGTAATCCAATATTTTGGCGTGTAATTGAACAAAGTGAATATAAATCAGTGATTACTCTTCTTAGTAAACAACAACAAGAAGCAATTTCTAGTGAGTCATGTTTAGTTAAGAGTTTCTTATATATACTACTAGGTAGAGACCAACTATTCAGAATATTTTCTTTTACTTATTTACCGACAAATAAATACTTTTCATCCATCAAACAAAGATTAATGCTCTTTAGTCACTATAAATGTAAAAAAACATAATAACAGTTTCGTTTAAAATAATGACTGTGAAAAAAGAACACACATATTGCATTCGCATGTTTAAACATAAATCAGAAAATAATAGACTATTCAATTGTTTTCAAAAATTATTTAGTATCAAATGAGAACATCTTTATTAATTCTCACTAAAATCACGTTGTTGGTTATTACAATTATATCTCACCTGAAAAAGTTTATCATTTAAAAGAAAATATTCATATCTCTTATTTCGCTTCAAATCATTACTTTTCTTGCAGAAATCTATCCTTCTGACAATATGGAATATCGGAAAAAACTGGACAAGCCTCAGAGTCGTCTAGAACTGTCATCAAACAGTCAGGCGTCCATTGAACAAGATACAAACATTCAAATGGAATCGAACACTATTAATCCACCAACCAACCATCATATTAAATGGCCCATAATAGTAGTTATCGTAACAAGTCTAGTTGGTTTGGTGATATGCGCTATGCCATCATTCAGTGTTTCCTCCATAACCCTGCGCTTACTTCGACAAAAAAAGTAATGTAGCATTCCAATGCTTGAAGAAACTACCGGTAAAATCTGATTTTATCATAGAATCGGCAACTTTTTTTTGAAGTGAGTCTTTTAATTTTCTAACACATTAGCGGCTTAAATCATAACATGACCGACGATGTATTTAATTGTGAATTGTAAGTAATCGTGAAGTTATTTCAATTTCTTTTGTACAGTAATTCATATTTGGCAGCAAAATAAATTGATTTTTTTACGTATGACATAAAGATACATTATATACTGTATAAATTGATCAAACATAAACAAAATCACTGCATAAAGTATTGGTTTATTTCGATATATTCCTTTTTTCCCAGGGCACATAGCAGTTCTTATTTAGTGATTACCGTTGTTTGAAATATTCGAATCATGGCTAATATAATTTAAGGATGAAGTGTCTAGGAGTAGCAATTAAGTTCGAAATATTTATCTTCGCATTAATCTCAAACGCCGTCAGTTTTTGCATACAACTTTTTTCGAGCTCGTCTGCGATTCGTATAAGTTACAACGTCTCATATATTTGTTATTTTAATTATGTTCTGCTTATAGAACAAATCTAAATCAAATTAGCAAAATCACTTCTACTAATGATGTTGAGAAGGGTGTGGGTATGGGTTGAAGAGAAGAACAACACCCACACCCACACCACACACCCATCCCATTTTCGCCAAACCATTCCCTGGAATTTCACCAATTAGCGAAAGTCCACTATACTTTCGCCAATACATCTTCTGGAATTTCGCCAATTGGTGACAGTCCGCCGTACTTTCGCCAATATACCCTCGGGACTTTCGTCACTGGCGCATGTCTTATTGGCAAACATTCCGCCACCTAAAAAATCTTGTTGACTAAATATCTTCAACAAATGCCTAGTAATAAGAGCAGTGTTTATTCATTTGAGTTTGGATACATTACTGAAGTTTTCATTGTCACTAAATAGATACTTCGATCTTGATGCATACTTTTATGCTCAGTGCTAAAATTTGAATGTGTTCTGGCATTTATTTTTATAAATTTCTTTATGAAGTCGTACAGTGAAAACTTTTAAATTTTTTCAAAAGTAAACAATTCAATAAAATTATTTATGAACTTTTCGGTGGCGACATAAATCTGCCACTAAATAAGACAATATTTTGTCGACTTTCACGAATGAAGAATAAAAATGGACGATCAGCTTTAAACTCAATGGGCCGTGGTGGTGGAAAAACCAATGAACGAGTATTGATGATAACTGCTGTAACTGCTGCTGCTTCTGATCCTAAATGAAATAATAGAAAATCTATGAATTGCTAAACAAATTTTCAAACGGATATTAAAGATTTAGTGCAAATGTATTCAATCTATTTATTTTAATATATTTTATCAGTGAGAAAATTTTTTGATTAAGTTCTAAGTGAATTTTATATACACAAATATTGAAAAATATAGAAAAACCCTATAAACCTGTAGATCTACGAAACTTCTCAGTTAATAACGTGAGATTTTTTTTAATTTTTCAAATAGAAAACAAAAACAGATAGTCATTGTCAAATTCAAGTTTTGATGATACAAAACCATCTCTCACTCACCTAATTCATTAACTCAAAGTATCTCGTCGTGTTTGCATTTCTTTTACATACACCCAAAAAAAGAAGGACTTTTTTGTCTGTACGCTACCGACCAATATTTTTTGTGTGAAACTCGACAGCGTAAGGATAGAAACTTGAAATTTTTAAGGAAAATAGAACTTTGTCAAATACATATTTGCTAAAAGTTTCAAATTTCTAGCTTCATTAATTGTCGAAATATACGCCAGTGAATTTGAAAAATGTCTATGTGTTTTTCATGTTTACAATTAAGATAAAATAATTTCGTCTTTGTCTGTATCAATAGACTATATTTCAAAATAAAAACCAAACTAACCTTGTTCGTTTACATCGAGAAATGTTTTATGAATAACCTAAAATGTTACATGGATTAATATTTTCTTATTATAATAAATTCTTTACCTTGCTAATATATAATTGATCTCTATTATGTTCTTCACTAACAATACCTGAAAAATTTGCTTTATAATCAATAAATGCATCTTTCATTCCAAGTTGTTTAAGAATATCATTTAATTGAAATGTAGATTCCATTTTAAATTTTGGTAAATATAAATGAAGTAATTCTGTTTTCATATTTTGACGATTTAATAATTTTTGCATTAAATTAGGTTGTGATGTTAATTTTTGTTCAATAACATCTAATTCAACTCCTTGATCAGGTAAAATTACAGTAAAAACAAATTCAACATCTTTATTTTCACTTCTATACGGTAAATCAACAATTTGTATATGTAAATCATCATTTTTAGCATAAGCAAATTTTTCTTTTTGATACATTAATTTTACTTTTGACGTTTTACCATTCGATTCATGAAAATCAGCATTTTCATCAGTTAAATTGTTTCGAAATTGTTTCATCCATGCCCCCTACAATTCAATTAATCAAAACAAATTATTTTTCTTTGATTAAAATTCAAATTTACCTTAAAATAAATACTATTAATAATTATTAATCTTGTATCAGGTGTAATATCGCTTTTTTGAAGTAAATCGTGAATTAAATTATTTGTTTGTTGTTCAACCCATGTATTGATTCTTTGAACAGCTTGCTCACTTTCATGTTCAAAATCTTCAAGTTTAATATCAGCTTTAAATGAATTTTGAACAATTTTCAAATATTCTTGTTGAAGTTCATATGCTTTTTGTGTATAAAGACGATTAGCTAATTTAACTTGAACTTCTTTATCTTGATTAACAATAGAAAAAACATTCATAATTTGTTCAGCTGTTTTTATTAATTGTTCTCTTGATGATACTTGAAATGTTTTTAACATTTGATTTAATGTTTCTTGTCGAGCACCAACTGCACACATTGACATTGCAAGAGATATACTCACTGGTGAAACAAATACATTTTCATTTTTGTTATTTTGACCAAGAGTTGAGTAAAGTTTGAGCCCAAATCGTTCGAAACTTGTAGCTCTTGATGATGATGATAAAGCCACAAGAACAAGAATTAATTGGACTATTTTTATAAATGCCATATCTTCAATAGAAATATTTATTTTGTTGAAGAAATGTTTTACGCTTTTGAAAGCTATTATCATAATCTTTCATTGGATTCTCACAAAATTCCAAAGCAAGATGCAAAGAATGATTCTCTCTATGTCGAATCTCTCATTGGTTCTACATTTCAACAATTGTCTATTTCATTTTTTGTTAAATATTTTTATCACTATAATGAGAATAAAAACATCAAAATAATTTCTGTCGAAAGCTGCGGCTATGTTGCTCGAAACTATAGAGCCTTCGTAAATTCTTCAACCCTTAATTTTTCTATGGACTCATACTAGAGGAAGTCATTTATATATTAATATAAAATGCATATTACTACTGCTGATATGGATTTATGTGCATTATAGTCATTCCTGACTAATCGGAACGAGGACCTTCATTTATTGAATTATTACATTGAATTTCTTAGGGTCAAATATTGGAGTGAAAAAAAAAGTGAAGCCTACTTTATAGGATATTTTATTATAGAAGAACCATTCACATTAACGTCCTGCGTCGGGCCACGACTCTTCTATACTGTCAATCAAATAGGTATGATCAACACGCGCGCCGAACCAACCACAAGGGATTAGCATCGAAATTGATGTGCCTGATGGCGGTAACTGTTAAGCTTACCTATACAACACACTGCAGATCTCTAATTCGCATTAGATTTTCAGAAGAAGGAATCCATGACCTAATCGTATGAATCTCTATTTACTATTCTTCATTTTCTTAATCATTTCTTGTTAGATCTAGAGGATGAAAACTTTGCTGAACGATTGAATACTGGATAATGATTTTCTTTATTGACTATATGCACTTACTAAGAAGAGAGAAAAATATGAGAACTCTCAGTTAGGTAAAATACATCAGTTACCTTTTCTTTTTCATATGAGAAAAATGTGGTTTTTATATTAGTTATAATACGTTCATAATGTTAATAATTTGTTGTTGTTCGGACTATATTTCTCGTAAATTAAGAGATTTATTGAGGTATTTTTCAATATTGTTTGATCAGAAATACATCGATGGTAAAAGATTCTAAGAAAATATCCTGAAACAAATCTCTTAATTTACAAAAGACGGAGTCAGAACAACAACAGCAAATACTCACCATTATGCATGTACTATAATGGATAGAAAAACTACACTTCTCTCTTATATGATCGAGGGTATATGAAAAAAACAAGGTAACTCCAATATGCTATCTAAGCGAGCACTACCATGTGTCAACTGAAAGAAAGAAAGAAAGATAGTTTATATATATATATGAAATGCATGATTATCGCATTTTATCTCAAGAGCAAATTTCTTCAGATACGAAGAAGCTTTTGAGCTCAAATTTCACTCACAAGTAGATAAGGCATCGCCTAGTTATCCCTTATCTAATTGGAGGGGGGACAAAGTTTGAGCTTAAAAGCTTTTTAGTAACTGAAGAGGTTTGCTTGTGAGATAATATCATAACGAAAAGAAAAAAGAAAACATCTATACTATTGGTCTTGGCTACCTCCAACAGAAATGAATAAGTATATGACGCAGTAGTCAAGATGGGCTGCATTCATACACTACACACAAAAGTATGTGTAGCTCATCTTAGCTAGTTTGAACCAGCCAGCTTCTATTTCATGTTTGACTAACTTCTATCCAGGATTTCATGACAATGTGAAGGTCGTCAGAAGTGAACCAAACTCGAGTCCATAGTTCATAATTAACTTATGTTAGCTCTAATATGTAAAACAATTCTCGATAGATGTCTTGTAGAATCGAATTGATTTCATGAAATTTAATCATTATTTTCTGTTTTTCTCGAAAAAACAAATGACATTGATTCTATGTGTTGATGTTTCCAATGATGCAAAATGCACGATAGCTATGTTAAAACAGGTAGATAAATATTACATAAAATATTTCTAAAGTATCGTCGAATTTCTTGGACTATCTAATTTAGTTTTTTCAAAATAAATTTTGATAGAACATAAATAACTCTTAAAGTACAGCAACTTTGTCTGCAGTTATAGCATGATTTATTGTCTATGTTATCTTCAACTTTATTTGTTCTAAAATATTTGAATATTATTAAGATTTTTTTATGATTTAAAAAGCAAACAGTTTCATGGTATTCGGTCAAATTATGTACTAATCATGGATTACTCTTTGTTAAAAATTTTTAATCTTGATCTGTTTTAATAAAATATGATTAGAAAGTGTGTAATAAAAGTGAATTAAGATTAAGAGTTGATTTCAAAAACAACAAAAATCTTTCGTTTTCTGTAGACATCATATTTTTTCTTTATCATATTCTCTCTTCTTCATCATATTGTTTCATCTACGCACGTTTATAAATAAACTCATTCATACATTATCTTCAGTGATATTGAGAGATAAAAAAAGAAATTGTTATCGTTATTTGATATATTCTGAAAATGGAAAAGTGTAAAATAAAAAATGATTTTAACAAAATTATTAATATGAGACAAACAATTATTTCAAAGCTTAATAGTTTCAAATTTCTTAGTTTTAAAATACAGTATGAGACTAGGCTTGATTGGTTTAGTTTTGTCTGTATCGAGAGAATTATTCTGATTTCTTTGAGTTACAACATTTTAGAAAGACAATCGATGGAAACTCTCAATGAAAATCCTAGAGAACTTTTTGCAACTAGATTTATTTCTTTTTATTAATCGACCATCACTACTGTTACCACAAAAACGAACGAATTAAGTAGAAATTGGTCTTGTGTATGATACTTCACAGACACTTTGCTGTGTATGATCATGATCCGATTCTTGTTAACACACATAATAAAGCATTCAGTGATATTCAGACATCATACAAAGCTAATAACTGTCTATAATAGTGATTTTGCCCGATGTCGTCGAGTCAATTTATGAATGAACTTATATTCGTTATGTATTTCCAGATCTGGTCACCCAAATCCATCATTCCGACCTCTCTATCCTGCAGAAAAGATGCGGGGAAAAGTTTGAACATGGAAGCAGTATTCTCATCGGGAACTTTTCGGACGGTTCGTGTCGAAAAGCACGGGAAGTTGTCGGATTTCACAGGAAAATTCTCGGCAAGAGTACTGTTTCTAACTTCCTCGAATTTTCCGTTGCATCCCAGCTGTTTCCTGTTGTACGTCGCTCACCTGGAAACACATTGAATGAAAAGAAACGAAACTACGTCTCTGACTATGTCACGAACTCGTTTTCTTTTAAATTTTCAGAGATAACGAATGGAATTGAATAAATTTCTTAATTTTATTTATTTCTACTATGCTACATTTATTTGGAGGCCTTCTTACCGTCTTTTATTTTATATTGTTCTCTTGTTTAGGGTGTGGATGTGTTTCTTTTCTTTTTACACTCACACCCACACCCATCCACACCCTGTTTCATCAGATACCAATCATTATCATTTAAAAGAGTAGAGATGACAGATAAAACGTAATCATTTCTGAAAGGATAATCATATGATTCGACAAACAATTTACATACTATTATGTAGAAAATAAAGTCTGAACAAAGTTACGTACTCTTTACTCAAAAATCCACATGAATGTGCAAAATCGATGGGAAACTTTTCTAACAAAGTATCATGGCGAACTTTTCAGTATATACACAATATTCATCAGAGTCCGAAATACAACCAACTATAAATTTTGAAAAAACAGTGTCCATCTTCGTTTCTTCGAAATGTGCGAAAGATATGTTATTGAATTTATATAATGTCAATCTTATTTATTTATGTTCATCACTACCATTGAAATATAGAACAACTCTTCTCGAGATTCTTCATTCATGGATCGTACAGTTTCTATTGATTATTTAAGAAGTTCATCCAAAGCCTTTTATGGTTTTCGAACAAAAAGGCAGCATAAATACTTCAGGGTGTGGGTGGGTGTGGGTGAGAGTTAACAAGGGATGAATACATCCACACCCAACACCCACCCACACCCTTACTCAATCGACATATATACCAAACAGTGTTTGTGCTTTTTCAGTCGATACTTTAAGCAGCATACAATGCATAAACTGAATTTGGCGACCCGAATAGGATTTTTTATGAATTTTTCAGCAGTTGTTGGATTCTTTTATTAGAAGATATATGAGCCAGTAAAGGGTGTGGGTGTGGGTGTGGGTGTGTGGATGTGGATGTGGGTGAGGGTGTGGATGTGGGTGTGGGTGAGGTTGTGGATGTGGAGTATGGGTGTGTGTCGATCAAGAAAAGAGCTACACCACCCACACTCACCCACACCCACACGCACACCCACACCCACCCTCATCCACACGCACACCCACACCCACCCCCTTCACATTATGCCATAGCAAAGTAATGGAATTGAAATTCTTGATTTAAAAGTTTTATTTTTGAACAGGTCTATAAAGGGTGTTCACTAAGTTCTGACCCTATTCGTATTTTGATTATAACTTTTTTTATTTTCAACTCTTAGATCTGATTGTTTTCCCAAAAGATGCGTCGTAAAATTCTCTGTAAGACTTGATAAAGAGTATTTCTGTAAAAAGTGAAGCAGAGAAATTGAACGAAGAATATCCAACGCATAGAAAAGGGCCAACTTTCTAAGCTATTTTCATTTACTATCTTTGTAGTATTTCAAACAACTCGAAAGAAAACGAAACAACAATGAAAATGTTTTTGCGTACTTTGAAGTGTGCTCTTTCTCGTCATGCATTTCAAAGTCATTGAAAAATCTAACATTCCATAATTTATTATAAAATGAACAAAAACTGTTACCTTTAGCCGGCTAACTTTATGAAGAAAACTCTCAGGTAAGCTTTAAATAAAT